GAACTCACAGAGATCCGCCTGCCTCTGCCTCCCGAGTGCTGGGATTAAAGGCGTGCGCCACCACCGCCCGGCAGACTTCTGTGGCTTATCAGCTGCTCCCTCTAGTGTGCTTTGTTATTGCATCCTGATAGGCCCCAAACCAACACTCCTGCTGGGGGGGGGGGCTGCCGAGAGCTGAATGGAGTGATAGTGGGGAAACAAGGTTTGACAACGAAGAAATACACGTGCCGGGGCAGAGCCAAGCTGTTGCACTTCTCCCAAAGTGCACCTGACAGTTTCGTTGTTGCAGATGGGAACTTCTACAGTTAGTGCAGAGATTATCATAAGAAGGTCTAAGATTGTCATAAGAAGGTCTCCTGTGCCAAGGGGAGTTATTTGGCCTTCGCCTTGCAGCAAGTGGAGAAAAACCACAGGAGGGCTTTAAGCATGCACCAATTGGTCAGCTCTGTACATCAGAAAGACATCTCAGCCGCACCCCTGACTTCTATGACATCATCCCCACCGGACCTGATCTCAAGCTCCTAACAGGACCTCCTAAGTAAGGAGCCAGAAAGAGATGTCTGATGCACACCATTGGGCAGGATTTCTACTACACACACCACCAATAAAGAGAAAAGTCTAAAAGCCTCTTCCCAGACAGGAAAAAAAATTACAAGAAAAATAGCCAGGCACATTAAACCATGTGCTTTCCAAGCTAGAAGCTAGAAAATATGCAATTTCATCTACAGGCTGGTTAGAGAAATGTGATGTCACTCAAGATCTTCCTATTGTGCTATTTCACCTCAGTTATTGTGGTAAGAGAATACTTTTAGGTGATGTTCACCACCTTAAGAATTCACTCTCAAGACCTCCTTTTAGGATGTGTATATATATATAAAACATCACATTAAAGACCAACTGAATCTGAGAGAGACTTCAAGATAAGAATAAAGACTAATAATAAAAAATACATAGTTTTTAACCTAGATAGATAATGATGCCATGACTGGGAACTTCATCTAATTCTCAAAATAAGACTCAAGAGAGAGTCGTTCTGCAAGGAAACACCTGATGCCAGGGAAGCAAAGAACAAGAGAAAAGCATTCTGGGGGTCTCACTAGAGAGTCTAACAATTCCGTGGTGGGCAGAAGGAGGAAATTCTGTGAAGGAAAAGCTAGATCTGGCTTTCATAGAAAAGTGGAAACATAACTATCCAAAAGTCAGTAAAAGATGAGTCCTAGGGACTGTCCTGCCTCCGCCTCTCCAGCTCTGGCGCTACAGGTGTATGCCATCCCGGTCCTCTTTTACATGGGTGCCCGGCGTTGAACTTACATCATGGCGCTTGCGCAACAAGCACTCTGCAATTGAGCCACCTCCCGCCAAGCCCAAGAGAGAGATGGCTAGGCAATTAGCAAGAACTGACTCAACACGAATGAAAGAACAAGCCTAATCACAGGAAATGGCCGCATTCTAAATCTCACCGGATCGTGTTCTGTCTACTGCATTCCGTTCTGCACGTTCCTCCATCTCTCCATGCCATCCTCCATCCTCCATGCCAGCTTAGGGTAGACATGAAGGTGAAGACTTTGGAGCTCAGCTCACAAAAGGAGAAGCTGGAAACTGGGGATGTTTAATGGGAAGAGGAAGAAGCTACAGGGAGATAGGGCATGTGTCTCCAAGTATTTTCAAAGTCTGTGCCATGGAAAGTGAGCCAGAGGGATGGAAAAAACACCAGCTATTAGGAGCTACAGAGGACCAAGTTTAGTTCAACCTGGCCAAAATGTTCTCCCAATTAACGGAGTGAATTAGAGTCAGGAAAGGGAATGTCTGCAGAGACAATGCCGAAGGTATTCTCCCCCTGTGGGAGAATTTGTGTGAAAGAACTGTTAAAATCACTTCCAATTCCGTTTCTGTGAATTTCTAGCTTTCTCATCCCTCACAAGACAGGCCCAATCAGCATTTCAATGATTAAATGATTAAAATATTAGTGCATTACATAACTCTCCCTCCCCCCCCCTCACACACACACACACACACTTCATTGGTGGCCAAAATAGTAGCGACTATTATGGAAAGTGAATTTTAGAAGCAAAGAATACATTTATCTAACTGCTGATAAGAGGATTGTCAAGTTGTCTGGATGATTTAGAATTAGGAATATTTTGGTCAGTGGGAGGAGTTTCTCAAGAACAGTCTCTCATAATGGAACATGAAAAGTCGTCAATGTCTCCTTTAGAACAACCAGGCAAACTTTTCATGTGAGGTCTGGGAAATTGAAAAAGAAGGTAATAGAGAAGCATCAGCTGTAACAATTTAGAAATTAGACTCTGATGATGAAGCCAGAGTCAGACAGATTGGGGCTTGAATACTGGTTTAACCCCACACTACACAGAGGGGAGGGGGTGAAAGTCAGTTGGTCTGTTTCTCACATTGACTAGTATGGAGAACGGAGCGTGCTCATGGCACCTACTTTCATAGGGCTGTTGGGGAACTTACGAGAGACTGTGTACCACCACACTAATCAGTTTGGCAGGATTGGGGTGCACAGCCATTCACTCTTCAGGTGATAGATGGTGGGAGAGAAGTTGGAGGGACGAGAGGATGGAAGAGATGTAGCTCTCCATTACCAGAGTAAGCCAGAATGCATTTCTTTTCTCCAGAAGTCTGAAACAGAAGGCAGGCTCACTGCTGAGTGTGCCTGGAAGTGAAATCCCACAAAAGGGACAAACACTATGCTTAGCACACAGTAATGTAAATATGGCAAAGTCATGGCGTGTTCAAGGAGATTCTTCACTTCAGCAAAAGATGATATTAAAATAAAGCAAACCCAGAAACTGCTGAAATTCTAGTTCCCGTGTTTGAGCAAGTAAAAAATAATGCAAATATAAAGAAGGGTTTTTAAAAAAATTTCAATTGCCCCTCAAGTGAACTAGTAATGATATTTGGAATTTACTAAGAAGCCATAGAGCAGGGCCAGCAAGATGGCCCAGTGTGTAAAGGCATTTACCACCGAGACTGATGAACTGAGCTTGATTCCCAAGACCCAGTGGTAGAAACTGACTCTCATAAGTTGTCCTCTCTGCACACACACACACACACACACACACACACACACACACACACACACACACACAGAGAGAGAGAGTAAATAAACGTAATAAGATCTTTTTTAAAAAAGAAATCATAAAATGAGGAACATTTGAGGGCTTAATACATTTCCATAGAACACGAGTTGGTGTGTGTAATCAGGACACTTTCCTTGCTAGAATTAACCCTCTATAAGACAGCAGAGAAGACTCCTTGCTTTTAACTCAGAGAGGACAGGCATACCCCACCTATGTGCAGAGAAAATGATCCTTTTACAGGAGTTGGAGCTAACTTTCTCCAGTGTATCCAAGATCTCACAAAATCATTTTCTGAAGACAAGGAAATTAGTGTGTGTAGCCAGTTTGTGCTGCTCAGTGTCTCGACTTGCAGCAGTTTCTTTCTCCTTCATGGGTCCCGGGATTGACCGTCAGGATTGGCAGCAAGTGCCTTTACCCTCTGAGCTGTCTTGCTGGCCCTCCTGATGACCCTCCTAAAATGATTTCACTTGACATTGCAAGCAGCAATAAAAACCAACCAACCAAACGAAAACCAATCCTTGCTCTACTCCACAGTCAGAGGACAGTATTCTATATTACAGAGAAGTTAAGAGAGAGGATTTTGAGGCTTTTTACCTCAAAGAAATGATAAATAGGTAGATGAGGAGACAGGCTTATCTGGATTTGAACGTAAGGCAGGAAATGAAACCATCACACAATACTCTTCAAATATGTCCAATTTTATGTGTCAAGTTAAAAAAAATTAAGAGGAATCTCAAATCCTAGACTGTACTCCACACCAAATACACCAGAATGTATATGTGGGGAACCCCGGTAGCTACACTTTCTAAAGTTTTCCAGTTGATCTCAATGTGTAGAATGGATGAAGAGTCACTCTGAGCCAACATCTGCAATTCCAGAAGAATCAAAGCCAGAAAGCTTGAGGCCAGCCTGAGCTACTTAAAGAGATCATGTCAAAAAAAAAAAAAATCTAGTAGTTAGGATGCTGCAGCTCAGATGCATAATGCTTGTCTGGCATTGAGTTGGTCATGGATTTGTTCCCCATCACCATCAAAAACCCCACTATATTTGAGCGCCTTTTCAGAAGGATAGAACTTTTCTAATTCTTCAGAAAAAACAATGGCACAAATTGGTCGTGAAGGTTTGATTTTTAAAGGACACAAAGTTGGGTGGGTAGGCGAGGGAGGGGTATCTGGTAAGAGTTGAGTATAGGGGTGAACATGATCAGAATATGTTGTAGAAAAGTCTCAAAGAATTACTAATAAATAAACACAACAAGAAAACATACTAAGAATTTTCTCTTTGTTACTAGTAGAATGATAAGCAAAATATTCTGAGAAGTAGGATTATAGATGACTTATTTGCTTTTCATTTTCTCCCCTTGGTCCAAATGACAAAAGGTTCTATAATATAGAATTTGTGTATAAAAATTTACAGACTAAAAGAAGATTAAGAAAAAAGAAAAAAAAAACCAGGATACCTATTCTCAAAAAAAGAAAGACTTGTTACAAATGAAGATCACAAAACAGCTCAATAGAGAAAAAAATTGTATTTGTTTCCATCCAAAACTAATTACATAACACAAAATTGTCACTGCAGAATTAAAAGCCTTCCTTTAAACTTGGCTGAGTTTGCAAACATGTGACGCATAAAACGGGCCAACATCTTGAGGAAGGAGATAGTGCTTGTTCCATTCACTGACTGTCACGTTCTCCTCAGCTATAAGCTGAGGGACGGGATGAGCCCAGCCACTGTGCGTGGGTGCTGACGCTGCTCAGTACATTCTGTTCTGGATACGGGAAGTGTAATGTAAATAGACACGCACGAATCCACTGACAGACACAGAAGATTGCAGAGGCACAAACGGAATTACTTACTTGTTATGTTTTCCTTTTTATAATCTGAGGGGGAAAGGATAAAAATTGGTTTTAAGTAAGCGTTAAGTTATCTCCTAGACCCTTGAGCTACCGCTAAGAAATGCGACTTTCCCTGCCAGAAAAGCAGAGTGACAGAAAAGCATTCGAATGTGAAGAGTGCATCTTTGAAATTAAACTAGCTGTTAGGGGAACATCGTCCTTACAAAAGAAATTCACAAAGCACCATGCAGTGTCTTGGGGTTTTGTTTTGTGAGGTCAGCGTTTTCAAACATGTGGCTTGTTTTCTGCATGCTTAAAAAATGTGCATCGCTGGCTAAGAAAGAGGGTTATTTATTCCTTTACGCCATTCCGCTGACAAACTATGAGATGTTTCTTAGCCATTTTCCCATACATTCCAGAAAATGTTACCCTCATAGAATCCCCTATGAAATAAAGCAAGGTCCAAGCAGCAGTTAACAGTGGCCTTTGATTTATTTGAAAACAAATGAAATGCATCTTTATTCTAACCTCTATAACCAGGGCAACATTAGGATTCTGCTATTACGCGTGTGGAGCTGGCAAAGCGGAAAAACATTAGAACGGCCTAGAAAGCCTGAAAATGTTAGGAGCTTTAAGTACACACCTTACTTTACTCAAAACAGTAAATTTTCCTTAACTTCCAAAGTCTGGAAGGAATTCTTTGTTACCTAAATATGGCAGTCTTGTGCAGGCCATGGGGTCCCGGTGCATGCTGGGAAGCTTGCTGCAGTCTGGCACCGGGAGGAGGTGCATCCCCGAGCTGTAGAGTCCTCGGTGGGTCTTTCCTTCCATCGCCAGCCATTCTTGTGCACAGAAAAGCTCCTTTACTGCCAAGCAGTGCTCTCTGAAATGTCGAAAGGCGAGCAAGACTTGATGAATCATGACTAAGCAGAAATTTGCTATGAGGCTTAAATTTTGTATTCTTGAAGCATCATCACATCGTAGTGTCGTTGCTTACAAAAGTATTTTTGAAATGACTCTTCTTGACTTAAATAATGCAAGACATGATAGGATATGGTGTACTGTACTGTGAGAGGTAATACTATCTTGTTTAGTTTTTTTTTAAAATTTGGAATAAATTAGATAAGAGTCCCTGACATATCGTCTCTTGAAGTTCATATTAAAAATAAAGATACAGAGGCTGGAGAGATAGCTCAGAGGTTAAGAGCACTTGTTGCCGTTGCAGAAGACCCAGGTTCAGTTCCCAGCAGCCATATGCTGGCTCAGTCATCTGTAACTGTAGTTTCAGGGGAGCCAATAGGCACAGTGAACACACATGCATGCAGGAAAAACATTCCTACACATAAAATAAAATCAACAAACCTTTAAAAATTAAAAACAAAGATACAGAAACAAGGTCGATAGTTTAAAGAACATACAAACTAAGGGGCATGGGCCATCACCTCAGGCCCAATGGGCAGGGCTTGGGAAAGGACACACTCTGAACTTCTGCTTGCTCTGCTCGCTGGAATCCAGCAGCAGCTCCAGCTACCATTTTACAGGAGCACTCTGGGTTCCTTGGCAGCCCTTGCCTGAGAAGTAGAGTTCTGCCCTGAGGGTATCCCCGCTTCCACCTGAGACACCAGAGGGATGACCCAGTGGGACACTGTTATGTTTGGACAGGTTGTGTAATGAGTTGTTGAGCTGAAGAAAGGCTGGCTGGACTAATTGGAATTTGGAAGTTCATTTTTGTTTAGGCTTACTAGGACAAATTGCCTCAAGACAAACCTGAGTAATTCCAAATGAAGATTGTTAGGGCTGATAATAAAAGGAGAAAGTAATTTAAGAGGGAAAATAATTAAAATACATAAGGGCTTGGGTACAGCCCAAGCTTACGTAGCAAGCACATGAATGCGTACGCATGCGTGCTCACACACATACACACACACACACACACACACACACACACACACACACACATACACACGCAGAATATAACAGGTGTCCTATGTCCCTATCAAGGAGGGAATTTTGTTTGTGTGTGCATATGCACAGATGTGTCACAGGGCTCTTTTTGTGGTGTGCAAGACACCTTTTGACTGAGCCAGACTCGAATGTTTTCTGTAAGTTCAGAGTGCTAGTATCATAGTTTGCCGTCAATGGTTTAAATGGGAGAAATTTCGTCCTTTCAATTGCTTCTTCCAGATGAATGGCAAATTGTGCTAGGCCTCCTGCACACAACGGTGTCTTCTTTTGCAGACTGTTGGCATACAGACAAAGAATGGAATTTCTTCCTCGTTTTCAAAGTTTTACCTGCAGACGGGCATGGGAGTGGGCACGGCTCCAGGGCCGCACTCCTGGAAGAGGTGCTGGCACAGCAAAGCCTCGGCGGCGGGCCGGCACCGTGGGCTCACCGCCTTCAGTTCACTCCACGCCGTGTGGATCAGCAGCTCTTGGGCCTCCTCGGGGTCCGAGTAGGAGGTGTTGAAAAAGACAAGCGCGTCTTTGGCCAGAACGGGACCGCACACGTCCCCTCGGTACTGGGCGCAGTAGCCTTTGCTGTCTCTCTGGGATGTACTGAAAGAAGCGATGGACCGCATAACCAGTCAGTCATACGCAATTTCTTGGCAGCCTCTCTGCCTCCACCACCCCTCACGTCGGCATCACGGAAATAGGGAGAAACTGTCCTGGCAAACGTGTTGAAACATTGTATCCAGATAGTCTCCCCATTTCCAGCAGCAACCGTGTCATTTCTAGATACCTCAGGCTGTGGAAAGCTTTGGAAATGATCACGAGCTGAATGAATTCGGGCATTTTGTTTTATGTTGTACACCGAATGATTGTTCTCACTACCATCAGATCACATACTTCTTGCACATAAACTGATATACTCCAAGAAAGACATTAATTGTGATGGATAACAGATGAGAGAACGTATCAATTGTGCCCACGGGAAAAGTCAGCAGCTTTAAGAACAATCTGTATGTTATCGTAGCTAAATACCTGAAGTGGTCAGTACATTCCCATCTTGGCCATGTCTCTGGTTTACTGGGACAATAATAACTCATAGACTCACTGACAATTATTGAATATTTATCATGTGTAGGCACCATCATGGTCTTCTGTATTCTTATGGTTTCCATAAAATCTCAGTCACTAACAGGGTGGAAAACTTCAATCATATTTCTCATTTAAATGTATACTATTAATTTTAGATATTTACTATTAAGACTTAGCTTTTCATTACCATTGGATAAAAGATTTTGAGTAAGGAAATTCAACACACTGAAATTTGTGAACTTTTAAATGGTTAGGGAACACTATTTGAATTCGAAAAATTGATACTCTATAAATCAACACTGTCAGGTCTTTGAAACAAACCCGTTAGACAAGACACAATGAATCCAAATAAAATCATGTTTCACAAGATAGTTTCAGTTTGGATTGGTCATTTACTAATTAGTCAGCAGGATCACTAATGTACCATTTAATTCATGGGGGATATTTAAAATAAAAACCCTTGAATAAGAAAATAACCCACTTAGTAAATGCAGTCTGTGGTGGCACTAAGACAAAAAAAAAAAATCGTGGTTGCTGTAGCCCAAAAATAACAGACTAGTAACTAATGACCAGAAGTAGCTCATCCTGGTTTGCAATGGGTCTCATATTGTTACATCTTGGTAAAATGAGAGAGTGAATAAGAGGAGAAAAAACAAAACCCTGTACCCTGTAAAAGATGAATAATTCTCACAATGTCTCTGACCTCAGGCTGACTCTTCCAGGTTCTAATGTTGAGTGTTAACTACTGAATGAAGCAAATTTTTGTTTTTTCTCTGAACACTGAAATATAACACACATTGGTGGTTTTCCTTTGACTGCACAGACAACACATCTTTTTGGAAAAGAAAAAGACACGACAAAAAACCAATAAATGGTCTTAGAAATAAGGAATTAGTCATCGAAGAATTAAAGAGCAAAAAAGGGAAGTTGAATAGGTTTTGAGTAAAAGCTTTAGATAGCACAATATGCTTTGATTAGGTCCACAGCCCAAGCAAACTAATGTTTGTTATGTATATATACATTATTAATGTACATATATACATATACATAGAGAGAGAGGGAGGGAGAGAGAGGGAGAGAGAGAGAGAGAGAGAGAGAGAGAGAGAGAGAGAGAGAGAGAGAGATATGACCCCTTTACCTACCTATGAACTGCCTAGTTACAGTTCTGGCATTTTAACTTTTTTGCCCTTTTTTTTTTTTTTGAAGATATTTGCCTTTTTTTTTTTGAAGATATTTATAAAACTCAAATTTTACACAGCTATCAAATTTTAGATCCCAGAAATGGATGCAAAGTGAATTATTTAGTCCAGAGACTTTCTAAATCTATCATTAAGTAATAATAATAAAAATGCTGAATGGTGTTCCTAGCAAAAACTGGGAGTTGAGGTGAATAGAAAGACACCCCCCCCCCCGTGTGTTCTGTGGACTTTTGCCTGCCTATCTGAAGCTGTGTGTCTCTGGCACAGTTTCTGCACTGACAGGGACGTCTTATGGGCAGCTGGTTCTGCTGCTCTTTTGAACAGTGGGGCAGAGGTCACAGGGCTCCCTTTACAGAATGCTGATTATTCTGGACTGTTCCGGTAGAGATCCAGGACAGGCAAAGCTACACAGAGAAACCCTGTCTCGAAAACAAACAAACAAACAAACAAATACAAAATAAAAGACCATCTCTTAAACTTACAAGTTAATGTTGCATATGGCACCCATTCCTCTTTTACCTCCCGACCATCCGAACCTGGTCGCGCACCTTCTGTAGTGACAAGAATGGGTATTTGGTCCCTGACCCCTCCTTCGCCTTCTCTTATGAAGGACGGCCCTGAAGTCGACTGGAACATTCATGCGATTCTCCCTCCCTTTTCTCTCCACTAAAGCATGTCTGAATCACATTGTGAAACACTACCTTTCCGTTTCTACAAAGGAGGCACCATCTCTTCCCTTTGAACTTTGTCCAAAGGCGTATACAGAGGCCCAGCTATGTCCTGTTTGGTTTATGACGGCCCTCCTGGAGTGGAGGTACACCTGATAGCTGTCCCTCTCCTCGGATCTTCCCTTACATAACAACTGTCGCGTTTCCCCTACAAAGGTGATGGCCGAGGTTCTGAGCCATTCCGTCTTCAAAGCAGCTGCCCATTGTCTGTACATGATTCATGTGCTAAGGCAGAGACCAGCAAATACAACTCAAGACCTGTCAGACTCAATCCTTAAAGAAATACCCAGATTCAAAAATTGATAATATTTTACAACCTTGGAATGTGGTCAACTATAGCTACTCATAATTAGATGTACTTAAAACCAATTTAAATGTTCACATGTGTGTACCATGAGGGGCACTCTTTCTTCAAAGTAGCAGATGAATGACATTTTTCAGTCTTTTGTTTAAGCAAAATTTTCTTTTTAACTAACACTTAACTGACAGAAGTTTTGTATGGTGTGTACGACATGATACTTTGAAATTTGCATATATCATGGAAAGGCTAAGTTAAATTAATAAACATGTATTGTCTCAGATGCATATTACCATTTGTGGTAAGAACACTTAAAATCTATTTAGTGAATTTTTTTAAAGAATGCTACGTTGTTATTACCACTAGTCAACACGTCCTAGGAAAAGTCTCTTTAACCTGTTCCTATGTATGGCTGAATTTATATTGTTCATATTTAAAGTTTATACTTTTATTTTACAGACTTTTTATTTTTCTGCTGAGAGCTAAGAATGATATCTACATTTTAAGGGGTTGGAAAAACTTGAAAGAAGAATATTTAGACGCTCGAAAACTGCATGAGTGTCAAGTGTTGTTCACAAGTCAAGTTTTATTCGAAAAGAAGCCACTGTCTTTGATACACTTCCCATGGCTGTTCGGTGCTAAACTGACAGGCTGAGCAGCCTCAGCGATGTCTGTGTGGCTCCCTGGGTGAACATATTAATATCTGACCCTTTACAGAAAATGTTAGCCAACCTCCGCTGCAGTATACCGATCAAATGTCACTTTGCTGAACTGCCAAGCGCAATGTTCTCAGTGAGGAGGACATGACCTCTCGTGCTTCCTGTGAGCAAAAGCTAAGAGCTGTTTTCTATACAAAATGCACTAGAGTATACAGAAGAAACACTTTTTATTAAAAACCAAAGAAATGGAGAAAATTGATTTTTGTCTCTCCCAGAAGCCGAGAGAGAGGAAGAACATGAGATTGGGTGGGTAAGGAGATCGGGGAGGAGCTAAGAGGAGCTGGGAAACAGGGAGAGAATGTGATAAAAAATCTATCACATGGAATTCTCAAAGAACAAATAAAAATAAATATAGATATATTTATAAACTAAAAATGAATAATGCCAATCCTTTAGACAGGTATTTTATATATCATATATTTGTGTATATTAGGTTATATTCTTCATATTCAGAAATATCAGAATTGAACTGTAAATATATTTTTGCATCCTGCATTTTTGCCTCAAGCATATTATAAACCTTTTCCTGTGCCTTAAGGAAAAAAAAACAGAGCTTCTAATCAATTTCCTTTATCAGTAGATACACATAATGTTTATATGTTATGTCCATGAGTGTCAGCAGTTGTGACTAGTCTTCATAAATCTTATTATTTCATTAGAATAGATTTCTAAAAGTGGATGGTTTTGTCTATAGATACAATCATTTTAAGACTAATAAAAATTTCTAAATTGAAAATTATAAAGCCAGTGATTTTTCTCACTATCATCAGAGTTTGAGAGTGTTTACATTATCACAAGAGAAAAGTGGATGGGGTGGTTCATTTTTGAGATGTGGTCTCACTTTGTTGCCTAGCCAGCCTCAAAACTTCACACCCTTCTGTCTCAACCTTCTGAGGCTTGGGATGAACTGTGTTGTTACCACACCAGTTAGAAGTTATTCTTTGATTGACATTTATTTATCTACCAGCATACTTAAACTTCTTTATTTAAATTCACTTGCATGAAGATGATCTATGTCTATTCTTGAAGCCCCTGGAATTTATGATTTCAGTATTAATGCTATCTTACAATTAATTTTTATGTGCAGGAAAATATAAATCCTCCAGGGGCATGGGATAGTGAAATTGGTTTTGTGTCTCCATTTCTAATATATTCCCAGGAATAGAGTACTTGGTTTTAAAAGAGGCTGTAGAACAGTTATGTTAACAGGCATGGGAACAAAAGGTGGCGTGTGTGTCTTATTGTCAAATGGCTTGTGTTTCAACTCATACCGTGCTCACATCATATGGCCTTTCAGTAGACACTGGGCTTCACTGCTGAGTTCTTCACTGCTGAGAGAGGTCAGTCTACTGCCTCTAAGAACTGTGAGAACCACTTAAGAACTAACAAGTCACCTCACAGCAGAACAGTAGAGCTGTATATCAGAGATGAGATTTAGAAGGAACCACATGTTATTGTGCATCGAATTATTTTACTCCACGAAATTCAAATCAGTGCCTAGATTTTATATTCTCAGTTTCTAGTCTCCTTGGTAAGACACTGCTGTGCAGTGGTTGTGAGTCTGAGATCTGGAGTCTGTCTGTCCAAATGTTGATGGAGGCCTATCACTTTGTGACCTGTGTCTAGCAACCTTTGCTGCATCTGGTACCTTGTATAGAAAAGTATGAATAATAATACCTCTCCCTAAAATCCCTATAATGTTAAAATGAGAACAGGTATCATAACACTAACTGCAATGACCATTATTGATATTATGGATTAATCATTTGTACTTATGCTACGCCATAGAATTTTTAAAGCTATTGAGGTTTGTTTAATCACTTGTTTTTTGGTTTTCCAAGACAGGGTTTCATTAAGCCAAGGCTGGTTTTGAACTCCGATCCTTCTGGTTTTGTGTTCCATGTCTGACAAGTAGACACCACCATACCTGGTGAATTGTTTGATTGGTATTTTTTTTCCTTCATTTGCTTGTCTTGAGACAAAGTGTCATGTAGTACAGATTGGCCTCAAATTCATTATGTAGCCCCGGCTGTCCTCAGACACGCTATGCAGCCCAGTCTGGTCTTAAACTTCTGGTCCTCCTGACTCAGCCTTTGGGGTTCTGGGATTAGAGGCATGAACTTCTATGCCAGGTTACCACATAGAGTTTTTATGAAAGTCAATTTAATATAAAACACTATACATAAAAACTTTTGTAAGTTGATACTTTTTAATCTTTTGGAAAAACACAAGAAGGAGAGTTTTGGAGTGGGTCTTGAGTTGCATTTCAAACTTGCATCGTCTCTGCCTGAGTGAGTTTCCAGTGCAAAGAGTTTCTTAGTTTCTTTTCTGAAAATGGAGACAATCATGGTCCCTATGTGACGGGGATATCTCGAGGATGCAAATAACTTGTGTAGAGCATCTGACACACAGTAAATATTCAGCTGACATTAGCTACCTTTATCTTTATTTTTTCATCATCTTATAAAATATTAAATGGCATTAGACATTAAAAATGTTCAAAAAGTTTATAGTGCTCAGTAGAAAAATCATTGGTGCATCGAATAAAAACCCCAAGTGACATGAAACAGTGGAATAATAATGGATTCTTACCTCCACTCTGGTAACAGGAAAGGAAGTGTGTGCCCATAGGAAACCACAGACAAAGAAAAAGAACAGAGGAAAGTTAGCACACACTCATCTGACAGTTTAACCACTAAAACCAAAGGTTCTGAGAAGTTCCCTGCTTCTACTGGGAGGCGGGAGACTATAGGTGGAATTGGGGGAGACTAAGACAGTGCTGTCCCCAAAAGCTGTAATCTTTTCAGATGGTGGTTGCCATGGCACCACCAGTCACACATGAAAGAAAATACCCATTTCATCAAATTTTGCAATTAATTTAGTAAATAAGGTAGACAAGCAGATAGGAAAATAGAAGAGATGATAGATAGATAGATAGATAGATAGATAGATAGATAGATAGATAGATAGACAGATAGATAGATGATAGTAGATTAGATAGATAGAGAGATGATAGTAGATATAGATAGTAGATATAGATAGATAAATAGATAGATAGATAGATGATAGATAGATAGATAGATAGATAGATAGATGACAGATAGTAGATTAGATAGAGAGATGATAGATAGTAGATATAGATAGATAGATAGATAGATGATAGATAAATAATAGATAGATGATAGATATGGATAGACAGATGGTAGATGTTAATGGGTGTTACTGGCACTGGGATGTGGTTTCTAATCACTAGCTGTATTATTATTCGTCAGAGAAACTGCAGCAGCAGCAGCACAGAGAGGACTGAGTGTCTATTCGGGAAAGCCATTTGCTCTTTCCTCTAGAAGTCGTCTTCTCTTCAGATTTAAAGGAGCTAGAACAGAGGAAGAAGGGGAGCTAGCTGTACAACAGCAGCAGGCCACATTTCATCTGTTCCTCAAGGTCCTGAAAAGAATGGTTGCTTAGCAGTGGGTGGAACGAAGCAGAGGAATATCAAAGTAGATGATAAGACTGGAGTTTAAACTAGAGTAGATTGCTGTAGTTCATTCTTAAACATCACCTAAGAGTTGTAGAATCTGCCTAAAAGCTTGGAATGAATATGGTTCCCCAAAGGAAAAGAAGATTTTAGAAAGCATCATTTCTTGGTCCCCAGTGACTGGGGACCAAGTGCATGTCAAGTCTAGATTTCAATACACTGATTGCACATGTCATCTTGAGACTTTGCCACCTTGCTATTTCCTCTTGAATTTACGAGCCATTCAAGCTTGTTCTGAAATTCACAATAAACACACACACACACACACACACACACACACACACACACACACACACTTTTAATACAGATCATGATGCTGGCCAGCAAATACCTCCAAACACCTGTCCCTTCCTAATGAATTGCCAATCTGAGAGACAGAAGCCTGCATCCTTCCAGTGCTAAGGAGAGCTGGATCCCTTTAGGACACATCCCCAGCCACATCCAGTAATGGGAACTGGCAGGTCCTGAGAGACCATGAGAGAAGTGCCAAGAGCCATGTAAAGTCTGTGAGATCCATTCCACCAGGGGAGTCACTGGACTGTGGGAATATATTGTGTCCCCCAAAATATTGTGCACCCTAATAAACTTATCTGGGGTCAGAGAACAGAACAGCCACTAGATACAGAGGCCAGAAAATGGTGGCACACACACCTTTAATCCTAGCCTTCCTAAGGCAGAGATCCATCCGGATCTCTGTGAGTTTAAAGCCACACTGGAAACAGCCAGACTTGGTGACTCACGCCTTTAACCCCAGGAAGTGATGGCAGGAAGCAGAAAGGTATATAAGGCATGAAACCCAGGAACTAGTGCTGGTTAAGCTTTTAGGCTTTTGAGCAGCACAGTTCAGCTGAGAGGCATCCAGTCTGAGGAAACAGGATCAGCTGAGGAATTGGTGAGGTGAGGAAGCTGTGGCTTGTTCTGCTTCTCTGATCTTCCAGCATTCAGGTTTGATTTTATTAATAAGAACTTTTAAGATTCGTGCTATGCTGGACAGTCATTATAGAAATACCTCAGACTTCATTTCCATTCTGAAAAATAAAATCTACTAAGTCTTTTGCTGAGTTAGGCAGGTTAGGCTGACGGGTTCTCATTTTTATTTAAGAGATGTTGCTGGGGCTGAGGAGATGGCTCAGCAGTTAAAACACTTGCCAAACGAGAGTGGAGGAGGTTTGGAGCCCTAGACATCGACCTAAATGCCCAGAGGGTGTGATGGCTGCCTGTAACCCCAGCCTCAGAAGGCAGAGGCAGGGGGTCCCCAAAGCAAGCTGGCTAGCAAGACTAGCTAAATTAGTGCACTCCAGGTTTGAGACCCTGCTCCAGTGTGTACAGAGGATGTGCAACGAGAATAGTTCCTAACATCAACTTCAAGTCACTGTTTGTGCATCCACACACGTTCACCTACACACATGTAGGAAAAGATACATGGAACATGGAAAAAGGAAGAGGGGGGTTGCTAATCCTTTCCACAAATTTTGACTTAAGAATTAGGATTCAGATTTTACTGAATTGTAGAGAAGCAAGCAGGGACTCCTGAATGAACAAAAACTCCCAAAGGCTCTCGCGACAATTCTTCACTATACAGGCAGAAGCATATGGAAGGGGACAACAGGAAATTGCTCTGATGAAGAAGAACAGAGGCAGATTCTACGAGCAGCTGAGCAGGCAGACACTGACCCATGAGGAACCTGAGGTCACGTGTGTAATGATGCCCCAACTCTAAATTACTATGGGGTCCTTAACAGCATGAGCAAATGCCAAAGAGGACCCAGCCACAGCACCTGAGAGGAGAAGCTGCTGAGACACTTCCAGATCGAGGACAAGTGTGCAAAGAGAAGCGATGACAATTCAAGGGTGACCCTAAGAAAATTGGGGGTGCCCTCACTCACTGGATGCCCCTGTGTTTCTGTAACAAAGGTACAGAAGTGCTTCTCCACCCCCTTCTTTCCTCTCCTCTTCTTCCTCTTTCTTCTCCTTCCTCTCTCACTCTCCTCTCTCTCTCTTTTTTTTTTTTTCTGATCTGGATGATTAAGGAACCAGCGATGGAGTCCATGAAACTTGTACTTTATAATAAATTATTTTATTTCCCAAACTATATGTTTTTTTTTCAGTTTCTGAAATTTCCAACATGGTTGCAGTATTTTTAAAATTATCTTGAAAAATCAGTAAAATAATGGTCCTCTTCTAAAACACACATCATTTGTAATGCCAGAAAGCTTCCTTGTTGCGCCTTGTACGTCTCACCGCAGAACATCTGCTAACAATTGAGTGTGGCTACGGGCTGGTGCTCATTTATTCTTCCCCTGTTTGATAAGGGCAAACACAAAGCACTTTTCGTCACTCTAAAAACCAGATAATGTTACAATGAAATGCCAGAGCACTTTGTAGAAGAAGATGCTCTCTACTTGTTTGTACGAAGCGTGGAATGGTAGAAGGAGGAAGAAGTAACCACAGGTTCATCCCAGTGTCTCTGAGACCAAATAAGCGGCTCAGAACCCTGGAACTCACTGATATAAAAGACGGTCCTGGTTAGCTCTAACTGCCAACTTGACAAGCCTAGAGTCATCTGAGAAGAGATCTCTAATAATGGAATTGCCTAGAGCAGATTGGCCCGTGGGAGATTATCTTGATTATTAATTTTTAGGAGGGACCAGCCCACTCTGGGCAGCACCATCCCTAGGCAGATGTTTCTGGGTTGTATAGGAAAGGCAACTGAGTATAACTAGCTGGAGACCCAGCCAGCAAGCATTGTCCTTCATGGTTCCCACTGTCCTTCCTGGCTGAGAAGTAAGTTCCTGGTCAGAGCCAATGCTGTGTGGAATAGAAAACAGGCCTGTCTGCAAGCTCCTGCCTTGACTTCCCTCAGTAACAGAGGGAACAACTTCCTTTTCTCTCCTAAATTGTTTTGGCCAGGCTATTTGTCACATGACCAGAAATGAAGCTAGAACAAGGATTTACTAATGCCACTGAACATGGGAAATGCAGCTGTGTGTATCTCTGTGATTATTCCGATGGTCTCTGGCTGATCCAGGACCGTGCTCATTCCAAGGATCATGGCCGTCTTGTTCTCTACCCCAGGGCTGAGGGTCTAGTGACAAAGAGAAGGCATCTTGCTAAATACATGTCATCCTGTGAGTTTAAATCATAACTTGAGCCTTTTGGGGTTGTGATGAAGGGGAGCTAAGTTTCCTGGTTCATGGGGAGAGGCTTAGGAACTTTTATGGCTCCTTTTGATGACTACTGTCAGGTGTAAATGTCCCAGAAATGAATGCATTTCTCAGACAACGGGTGAGGGTCTAGGCAACACATGGATAGTTGCTGGGAAAGTGGAGGCTGATCTTTCTTTTCATTGTCCTTCAAACCCTAGAAATATCATGAGACAAAACCCTAAACACAATGGGTTACCAGTCTTTCCACATCCCGTTTTCCTGCTGCTGAGTAAATAACAGAGACAAGGCTTCCAAGCGCAACAACGCTTGTGTCAGGGAACCGATGCAGGGCATGGGGGGAGGCAAGGCTGAAATAGAAGGTGGCAGGAGCAGAGGTGAGGGGCCCTGACGGGAGAGCAAGAGGAGACACTCTGTCTGACTGAAGCCCCACTTCTAGCAATGCCACGAGAGGCCATCAGAGTCAGGACCATCTGGAGAGCAGGTGTCATTCCGCTCCTGGACATCTGAGGAGAGTATGGACATCCTGGCTAGAAATCCGTCCTCTCGCCAACCCCTGAATTAATGTTGTGCTAAAGATCTCTTTTTCATCACAGTGACCTCCCCTCCCTGGAATACTGAGCAAAGCAGAACTCCAGAGTTAGAAGGTAGTTTCTTTGGGAATCCAGAAAGGTCTTTATGAGGCATTAAGCCATTAAAAAGAGTTAAGGAGAAAATGCCATAGAGCCCTGTAAATGAGAGGTCTTAGTCAACCACACTAAGGATACTCATTAGGACTGCCTGGGGGAGAGTGGAGGAAGGTCAGAGAATCAGTGGCACCTACCAGAGGACAGATGAGGAGCTGGGAACAAGGGCAGGTGACAGCACAGGATATGTAGTGATTTCCCCAACAGATGGGCATGGCTCTCACTGGCCATGGCCACTGTAGTCCTTCTAAGTCTTTTTCTTTTTTCTTTTCTGTTTTTTTCTCTATACTCACATTTCTTTGCTTGAACCCCAACATTGGGCAACATTATGGCCATGCAGAGAGACAGATTCAGACATTTCGCATGAAGTTCAGAGGAAGGTGTGGAGCCAGGAAGGGCTTGACTTAATGGGGTTGTAGACAAAGCCCTTCCTGCTGCTGTGTGCTCTACCTTGATGGTCCTTTTCCAGCTCTTACAGATCACACTTTCCAGGATAGTTTCAAGTCTCATTCCTAGGGACCTGTTCTTCCCAACTCTAAAGTGACTTCCATACAACCTTATTGTCAGAGCCATGGGCTACTGACTTCATCCCTGGTACCAGTCTTGCTGGCCATTGATTGGTCCTACCGAGGTGACTGATGTTCATTAGTCATCTGCATTTAGCTCTGCTGCTACAGCAGTTTGAAAACCCTTATCTGCTGTTGCCTGCCAAGCTAGGCATCACTCCCATCCCTGTCCCACTGTGGTTTACTCTGGTCTTTCCTTGCTGGTTATCCCTATCCCTTACCCCTGGACATTGCCTTCTCTATTGACTATCTCATAACTTACGGAGCTCTGTACCACAAAAAGATTCCACTGGGAGGGCAAGGTGGTTGGTTCAGTGGGTCAAAGTGCTTGCTGCACTGACATTCTGAGTTCCAGCTCCAGAATGCACGTGAAGATGGAAATATAGAACTGGATCCACAGAGTTGTCCTGTGACCTCTACGTACACCATGGCATGTGCACACCCACACACCCCACCCCTACACAAATAATCATAATTGTTTAATTTTTTTTAAAAGAAGATATGACTACATGTCAGGATTATGCATCTCTCTGTTGGTATATTCCGTTGTTAATGGAATTGGATCTGGTTCTTGCTGGTTAGGACAGGGACAGAGAGATGCTTCTACACTGTAAGACATGTGCCTGCTGTGCTCAGGAGCCTTTATAGGTTCTGCAAGATCATGCCATGGGATGGATGTGCTTTTTTGGTAGGGTAGCAACAGCCGTTTTCCTAGGTTCTTTCCTTGTTGCTCATAGTGCTGTCTCTATAACCATCTTGGTATCTATGATGAAGAGGCTATAGATTAAAGATTACCACACTGGGGTGGGGGAGGTCCTCCCAGCTGGTCTGCTGTGGACAAGAGGGAGGTAAAGAGGTGAAGAATTTGAATATACATTTTTGTAGATTGTGGACCCTAATCTCTACATACCAAATAGTCATTAGGAAAAAAGCTGAGAGAGAGAGAGACAGACAGACAGAGAGGTGTTTTTTTTTTTTCTTTCAACTTTTCATTTGAAATTCTAAAGTCCTGACATGGGGTGACCGCACTCCTGTCATTGGAACAGCATGATATGGGTGCACGGGCAACAGACTGGGTGACGAAGTCTAAATTGTACTTTGATTCTACACACCTTGCAAGAGATACAGAGGTGGTTTCAGGCCCATGGAAGACACAGGCAGCTGAGTAGAGTCATCAAGCCTGCCTTCAGGTCGCAGTGAAGATACACAAGGTGTCCTCACTGTTAAGGCTACAGAGCAGACTCTATATGGGGATTTGGTGATGGATATGGCTGTGCTGCTGAGAGCTAAGACTCTCTAGAAGGTTCCCAAAGGCAGCAAGTCATTCCAGGGAAGTTGTTTGGGTTCTAACCCAGCTAAGAGATGAAATCACAAGTTCTCCATCTTTGGATTGTCTAGATCCAAGGGATTGGAGGACACCCCTGAAGTGTGAGTCCCTTTCTTCTTTGCCATCTAGGGGAGAGATGGAAGAAGGGGAAACTCTAGCAAGGAATTATCACTGCAAAACCAAGAACTTGTGTAAATGAGACTCTCTGAAGACTGGCAGCACTAGTGTTTATCTCTGTCTAGTGGAAGAACAAGCTGAACCGAATCCCGTCAGCTTATACGCCTGCAATACCCCTGTGTAAATGTGTTCTTCCTTCCCACGTGACATACTGGAATCCCAAGCATTTATTAACTAATCCCCCCACTTCAGTGGCACATTCAAGTCCTTGCAAATCTCAATTTTAGTCTGATAGTCCCTCCTCTTTTCTCATTGCCTATCATTGCTACTGTATTCTAGGCTCATGGAGGAGTCTCCGGCTGGGCACACTCGCCAGCCTCATGTCACTTCCTATGTACTGATTTGCTGAAGGGTGTATCTGGCCATAGCATTCTCTTCTACCTCTGCAATGAAAAAATGACTTCCCATTTATGGAGAAATGAATTAACCCAATGCAGGCTCTTCATAAGCTGGCTGCACTTTACATTTCAAATCTGTCTTTCTACTTTCTACCTCCTCCTGGTCTCCAGCACAATGACTAGCTGCCTTCTGAACACACTTCAACCTCTCCATCTCATAGCCATGTCCATCTAAATGGTCTCTCTCCTTCTGAGCTCTCTTGCTTTCCTGTTGTGCAGTCAGTATTTGTGGGACAGAACAGAGTCTGTCCCAGCATGCACATGGCTGACAAGCTTCCCTTCTTGATGCTGGTCCTTGGAAAGCAAGATCCATTGTTAATCAGTTTTTGTTTCTATTCTGCTCCACAGAATGGGCCACAACCATCATATTTAATCAATGCATATAAAGCCCATTATAAACAGCAGAGTGCAGTGTAAGTGGTAATCATTTTATTATTCTCTTTAACATATTGAATTCAATTCGCTTTTTGGCATCTTGTCATTGTCTGGATAAAATGGTATCCTTGAACTGATGGAGTGACCAAAAACCCTGTAGATAGACAGATCCTCTTAGGAGATGGTATGGGCAGCCTATTTCTTGCCTTTGTGGACATGTCCCCAAGGTCCAGCCTTGTCTACTGCTACTTACACTCTTTGGCCTCTACTCATTTTAGATTAAAAATTGTAGGCACTATTGGAAAGTTCTCCATCATGGAAGATCAAAGGAATAGTCTGTAATAAGAAACAGCAAGTTCCAGGAGCTGGCCCTGAGTCCTCCAGTGCTGGCCTCACATGTCAGGCCAACTACCTCTCGACTGGTCCTTGAACAGTAAGACTGCTATGAGTCTAACATGTCTGGCATTTCCTGATACAAGGATTATTTCCACCTCTAGGAATTCCACAAATGTGCCTAGAAGCCTTTTAGATATTTAACTTTTAAAAATAACCCTTCATAACACAATGTAGATAGCCTAGAAACCCGCATGTCAGCTGTTTCCCATGAAAATACCTGCAAGTCCTGCTGTCACATAGATAAACACAGGAAGTGGACACACACACACACACACACACACACACACACACACACACACACACACTGTAAAAATGCCTTCAAGAAACAGCCATGTAGAAATTGGTTCATCCATGTTAAATATCTCTCTCCTTTCTGAGAGCCTTGGGAAGTTTGCTTAATCCAGATGAGGGTGGGGGAGGAGGTGTGAAAAGGAAGAAAGGAGGGAAGGATGGAAGGGACTCAGAAAGGGAGAAGGGGGTGAGGAAGGGATGGGGCAGAGGAAAGGAGGGAGACAGAAGCAGAGAGAGGGAGGACTTACGGATAGGGACAGGGAGGAGACGGGCAGAGGGAAGGAAAATAGAAAAAAAGGAAGAAAGAGAGAAAAAATAAGGTCCTATAAATTGGTATCCATCATTTGAACAAGAATGTTGAGATTTAATTTTTGATACAACTAAGTTACAGTCTATGTCTCCATCACTCAAGCATGTCAAAATGAACAAGGAATTAGCCTCAAAGGGACTGGGGTGGTAAAAGAGGCTGTCTCTAGTCCAGATGGTGTGGAGTGCCAGCCAGTGCTCTCCTGGAGCAGTGCAAACAAGCAGCACCTACCTACTATGCTGACAGTGGCTGCAGCCTTGGCCGTACTGAATTTCTCCCCGTGTTTATTGGTGGCGATGCACGTGTAGAGTCCCGGCTTGGTGATAAAGAGCTGGAGTCTTGAGTCAATCACCCGGTCTTTCACACTCTCTTGAATGGATCCTGAGGAAACCTGATGGGTATGAGAGAAATAAAAGGCAGAACTAGATTACCCTTTCCTCATACACCACACTGGTAGTCTGGAAGGATAAAGCATTTCAGTTATGATCAACAGGCATTAGGAAAGAGCTGCAAACATAGACACAAGTTCCCTGTCCCGAGGCCTTTTGAGGCTTCAGATACTCAAGCCAGGCCTAGTGTCTCTTCCAATTCCTGCTGCCTGCCAATCAAGATGTGGAACTCTTGGCTCCTTCTCCAGCACCATGTCTGCATACACTCCTCTATGCTCCTCACCATGATGATAATGGACTGAACCGCTGAACTGTAAGCCAGCCCCAATTAAATATTTTCCTTTATAAGAGTTGCTGTAGTCATGGTGTCTCTTCACAGTAGAAACCTTAGGACACTGGAGGAAGAAAGAAATATGGTCCATCTTTCTCCCAGTAAAAGCCCCAAACCACCAAACATGAGGAAAGCTATTCTGGACTAACCAGGACCCACCCCAGCTGCCAGTCATAAGAGTAGACTAGCCCAGCATTTGTCAATCCTGGCTCAAATCAGCAAAACCATCCAGTTGACCCCACAGACTTGTGACCACTAACAGTTATTTTTTTATTTTTATTTATTTTTTTTCTCCTTTAAAAATATTTTATTGATCCTCTGGGGATTTTTTTTTTATTTTTTTTTTATTATTATTATTATTATTATTATTATTATTTTACAACACCATTCAGTGCAACATAATAGCCACAGAATCCCCTGTTCTCCCCCTCTCGCCCACCCCTCCCCCCAGCCCACCCCCCATTCCCACCTCCTCCAGATCAAGGTCTCCCCCGAG